TGACATTAACATCAGACGAGTTTGTGATTAATTGCATATGGCCTAAATCAGTATATTCTTGCATGAACTTAATATAATCACTCTTTAGTTGAGGTTTGTTATTCAACCGGTTTTCTAATGAATGGAACTGTTTTAGAGCAATGTGGTCAGAACGACCTAAATGAGAAACATCTGTTTTAAATGGTAATCTGACAACAAAGCGACCGGAAGGGTCTCTTCTAACCGTTTTGTAGAAATGCCTTTCACATGCTAATTCCTCAACTGACATAGTACTGGTGTTCGTTACCTGCTCCTCCATTTCCCAAAATTTTGTCAATTGTTGATTTAAAGCCTCATCTTTTCCAAACTTTCTAGTACAACCCACAAAACCTTGAGTGCAGGTGTTCGCAATTTTACCTGCAACGACCCAACCGAAAGCCGTTTCCCGCAAATGAACTTGTTTATTAAAAATATCAATCTCTTCGTTGCCTATTATTTGCCAAAAATGTTCGGCTCCAATGAGCAAATCAATATTGGTTGATTTATTAAAATTTGGATCAGCTAAGCTCAAATTAGATGGGATATTTAAATCGGAGATCGAATACGACTCACTTGGATAGGGACCAGTAATTTTTGATAGTACTAGACAATCTAAGTTTAACGAGAACGGATTACAACGAGAATGTATTGAAACATTCGTTGCGTTTTTCACAGTAGTTTGTATTTCCCCTACCCCTGTGATTGGATAACTGATTTTTTTCAATTTGCTTCCTAATTTTTGACATAACTCATGCGTTATTAGATTGCTTTGCGAACCACAATCTAACATTACCCGACACTCATGGTACGTACCCTTTGCGTCTGCTATATTTACAAGCGCTGTAATCAACAGTGCCGTTACGTTGGTACGATTTGATAAAGACAATGCCGAATTATTATTGGATTGTCTGCTATCGTGTATTAACGAATGATGTTTCATGCGGCATTCTTTGCACCTACTTTTAGAAATACACTTTACGGCAATATGATTTGGCCGCAAACAATTTGCACACAAGTGGCCTTTATTTACGTGTTGAATTTTCAGATTTATCGGCAAATTATTAAACTCCGGGCACTTATAAATGAGATGAGAATCGGCGTTACAATAATAACAATGAACTGCTTTATTCGTGACCGTTTGAATGATAGGTCGGTATTTATTTGAGTTATTATTATTTACATGTTTATTCGACTGCTGAAATTTATGAGTACTGACATCATTGTGAGACTTATTATTTATATACTGAAAGGATTCTAAAAATTCACACCGTTTTTCTAAGAAAGTTATTAGTTCCTTTAATGTAGGTAATTCGGAGGTAAGTGTGGCCTGCCATTCCCTTTTAGTGGTGTAATCCAATTTTTCACCAATGAATGGCACAATTAACCCATCCCATGCATCAACGTTTAATTTTTGAACTCTAAGGGCTTCTATATTACTACTAACATCTATTACTAATTTACGCAGAGCAAATGAATTAGTTTTAGTGACAGTAGGTGTGTTTAAAATATTTAAAACGTGCTCTTGAGCAATTAGCCTGGCATTATTGTACCGTCTTTTCAACAGATCGTACGCAGATTTATAATTTTCGGCCGAAATAGTTAATGCCTCGATCGTGGCCAGCGCCTCGCCCTTTAGTGATGATTTCAAGTAGTGAAATTTCTGACACTCATTCAAGTTGTTATTAGTATGTATCAAGGACTCAAATGTATCTTGAAATGATATCCATTGTGAATAAGACCCAGAAAATATTGGTAAATTCAATGATGGAAGTTTTACCATCGAATCGGATTGAGTACCACCATCATTTGCTTCAGAAGTTGAAGGCTTGGAAGTGTTTACTTTAAGAGAAAGTTTATGTTTACTGAGATTAGCCTTAATATCGGCTAAAGCGTTATAATATTGTATTTCAACTGTTTCTCGATCGTTATCGTTCTCATCCAATACTTCAATTTGATCTTGATATTCTTCAAATTCTTTCATTGCGTTTTCCAAAGTTTGCAACCTAGCTTCCAGCTGATACACATTATCAGTTGGTTTAAATGCTTTAGCAAAGGACTCGATCCTTGTAATTTTGGATTTAACAGTGCCCCGTTTTTGTCTTAAACTTGCTAACTCAGCCATTGTGATATAGTTAAATAATATAATAAATGAAATATTAAACTTATTAGGAGTTGTAGATAAATCACTCCACGTGCTGGCTCCAGACAAACTTGACACAAATCAACGTTGCTGGATAAACGAAAAGAAAGGAAATTGGGACTTACTGCTTGGCGTTGTTATAGATGGACCACGTGGTGACGTCGCGTGCACTCGTGTTCGCTGAATATCCGGCTCTAACGGACCAAAATGTGGCGTCGTGCCGTTCTTCGAAGGACCGTAATAATACTCGATTGTTTAAACACTTATATTACATTATATATTTATATATATCACAAGTTGTATGTATTAGAGGGCATCGCGCCCGTACCGCCTTCGCGTTCGGTGGTTCTTGTCGTTCTTGAATGTTGTTGTCGAATGAATTCGGGAGAAAGCGCCATCCGTCCGGTGGGTGGTGTGGTGGGGTGCTTACCCCAGGACAGGACCGGGCTTGCCCGGCTGGTCTGAATCAGGCCCGTACCGAACATCTTGTATGATATACATATCATTTGATTATTAGTTTGGATGATTTAAATAAATATTGAAAATAAGTGGAATTTTTAGTGTAGGTCTTAAAGGCGACAAAACCAATCAGTTTAAATTATTAACCCTCACTTAAGATGCCGAAGGTGTATTTTGAGGGTAGTTAGTCAGAGTCAGGCAGAGTCAGTGTAAAGTAGCAGTGAGCGTGAAGGCCCAGCTATGCTGTGATGGTCTGACAGCGCCGGACTCGGGTTGAGTGATAAGAGCAAAGAGTTTGGTGTTAAGGTGTTGATAAGAGACGGTGGCAGGTTAGGGTGAACCTGGCCATGAGAGCAGTGTTGATGCATAAAATCTCCGACGGATACCATGGTACGTACCTGGGAACTGAGCGCGTACTCAGGTGGTGGCAAGCGAATGCAACAGAGAATATGTTTACTGGTTAAGTTGGGAGATTAACCCGGTTTCTGGAGGAAATACAGTGAGGTATGGACGTGGATGGGTCCTCTCCACTTTCGCCGTGACAGCGCTCCTTCTGAGGAGTCTGTGGGCGGGCAGTGGATCCCAAACTGTACAGCTAGATTTCAGACAACTCGACAACGTCACCAGGAGAATGCGGGCCGAAGACGACGCCGTGAGTTGGAACCGCTGATCGACAAGGGTTGGGCTAGCGGATGGATGATGGGTGAGTAACCCCATTCTTAATCATTAGCGACAGATAAGTCTGGTCTGTCTGTTTTCATATTCGTGATTGGGGCCGAATTATCGCGGGGCCGGACCTGTACTAGAGCGTCACATGGGGGTGAGTGAATCTGTAGTTTGCAATTGACCGTAGTCCTTTGACTGTTATTGATAATAAATACACACTATACAATTCAGCTCTGCAGGCCTTAAAGGCCCTGGGCTTTTTTAACAATAATTTTCCATTTGTTCCTGTCGGCTGCTTTGGATCTCCAATCTTCAATGCCTAAGTTTTGAAGATCTTTTCGAACATCCTCTATCCACTTCAGTTTTGGCCTTCCTCTCTTTTTCTTTCCTCTTTTTAGGCGGTCTAATACTTTCCCAATTGTCCTTTCCTCTAGTGCTCTTTCGACGTGGCCTAGCCATCTTAGTCTCTGTGCTCTGATTATCTTCGTGATTGTTGGTTCTCCGTATATTTCCTCGATCTCTCGGTTTGTTCTTCTTCTCCATTGGTCTAGTTCTTTTATACCTCCATATATCTTTCGTAGTATCTTGCGTTCCCATACTTCCAACTTCTGTTCCTTTTCGTTCGTTATCGTCCATGTTTCACTAGCGTACAGGACTGTAGGTCTTACTATTGTCTTATATACTTGTTTCTTTCTTCGTCGTGTTACATTCTTACTCCTCAGAAATCTGTTTAATCTTCCTACACTCTTGTTTGCTTTCGCGATCCGTTCTTCTATCTCTTCGTTCATTTCGTTTTTGTTTGTAATTACTACTCCTAGATATTTGAACCTATTTACTTCTTCGAATTCGTATGTTGTTCCTTCTTCTGTAGTTAGTTACTTTCAGTGGTTTTGCTGGGGTTTGTTTTGTTTCCATCTTCGTAAACTTCGTTTTCTCTTGATTGATCGCTAAAACCATTCGTTTCGCTTCTCTGATTAGATTTTTTGTCATTTTCTTCATTTCTGCTTCTGTTCTCGTTATACATGTCACGTCATCTACAAAGGCTATATTTTGGTGTATTTTTTCGTATATCGTGCTCGTTCTGTGGATGCCACTTCTCCTTATTATTGCTTCGAGTACTAGATTGAACAGGGTAGTTGATATTGGATCTCCTTGCCGGATTCCTGTTCTTACTTGGAATGGTTCTGACAACAGACCATTTATCCTGACTCTGTTTCTGGTGCTCTGCAGGGTCATCTTTGTCAGTTTTATTAGTTTTCTTGGGACTTCTTGCATGGCTTCTAGCAGTTCTTTCCTGTTAACCGTGTCATAGGCTTTTTTAAAGTCTATGAACAGCAGATATAAGTTGATTCCCTGTTCGTAATGTACTTCTTGTAGTTGCTTCAATATAAATATCTGGTCTACAGTAGATCTATTTTTCCTAAACCCTGCTTGATATTCTTGTACTATTTTTTCCATATGCTGCTTCGGTTGATGCAAGTGGCCATTACCTTATACGTTACGTCTAGCAGCGCTATTCCGCGATAATTTTCTCATTTCGTAATATCTCCTTTTTTAATTATCGGGCAAAGTACTGCTTCACCCCATTGTTCTGGCATTTTTCCTTCCTTCCAACATTCTAGCACTAGTCGACGTATCTCTGATGCTACTGCTTCTCCTCCGTACTTTAGCATCTCGCCCTCTATTCCGTTTCTACCAGGACTTTTGTAGTTTTCATCTACCTTAGTGTTTCTCTGATCTCTCCTTCGTCAATTTCTATTGTTTCATCTGGGTCAACCGAGTCGTTCACTCTTTCGTTCGTATCTTGCTGTGTATCCTGTTCGTTTGGCAGCTCTTCAAAATATTCTGCCCATCGTTTTATTCTTGCTTGTTCGTCTCCTATCAGGTTGCCATCCTTGTCTTTACAATATATTACTCGTGGTTGATAGCCTCTTTTCTCTTTTTTCACGTCCTGGTAAAAGATCCTTATTTCATTCTTGTTGAAGTTTTCTTCTATTTGTCATATTTGTTCTTCCATCTTTGCTCGTTTCTTATTTCTGCATATCTTCTTGTACTCTTTCCTTTTTTCTTGGTAATCTATTTGGCTCTTCTCATTTTTTGATTTTAGATATTTCTGTCTGGCTGACCTCCCCGCTTCTATTGCTTTTCTACATTCCTCGTCAAACCATTCGTTTCTATTTTTGTTGTCTTTTTTGACGAACCCTAGTACTTCTTCCAAGGTCTTCCATATGTTCTCTTGGAGTTCTTCCCACCTCTCTTCTATAGGTATGTTTTACTCTGTTGATCTTATTCTCTCATTCATCTTTTGTTCGTATTCCTGTTGTACTTCAGCTTTCTTATGTTTGTTTACATTTATATCGCGTTGTGTCTTCTTTCCTTCTTTTTTCTTCGGTATTTCTTGTTTGAGGTCTGATCTTACTAGAAAGTGGTCTGAATTCGCTTCTGCTCCCCTGTAGCTTCTTAATCTGGTTATTAGTTGGGCATCTCTCCTTTCTACCAGTATGTGGTCTGTTTGGTTGACCGTTTTTCCGTCAGGCGACATCCATGTGCCTTTGTAGATCTCTTTCTGCGCAAAGAAGGTGCTTTTGACTACCATTTTATTTTCTTCTGCAAACTCTATCAGTTTTTCTCCATTTTGATTCGTTTTTTGGTGTTTGCTTTCTTTCCCGATTGTTGGCCTGTAGCAATTCTCTTTACCTATCATTGCGTTGGCGTCTCCTATAACCATTTTAATGTCATGCTTTGGTATTTTCACATATTCTCTTTCTAGTTCTTCGTAATATTCTGTTTTACTTCTAGATCTTTCTCTTCAATCGGTGCATGTATATTCACTAGGCTTATTTTCCTGTACTTACTTCTCAATCTTATATAGCTTATTCTTTCTGAGATTGGTTTGAAGGTAATTACTGCTCCTTTCAGGCTCTTCTTCACCATGAATCCTGTTCCTAGTTCTCTGTTGTCAATTCCGCTATTAAATAATATGTAGTTATCTATTTCAGTGATGAATTTGTCTTTTTGCTTCGTCTCTTGTATAGCTGCTACATCTATTTATATAGTATACCTTTGTAATTCTTGAACTATTTGTTTGAGTTTTCCTTCGCTATATGTTCCTCGAACATTCCATGTTCCTATTCTAATTTTCGGGTTTTTCTTTCTCTTCGTAATTTCTATCGGGTCATCCATGAGCTTTGCATACGTCGTCATTGTTTTCCGGTGTGTGATTTCTTCCTCTGTTAGTTTTTTGGATTTTCTTTGGGGTGCGACGGTGCTTTCACTAATTTGTCTAATTTAGTGTCCCAATGCCAGACTTCTCCTGCCCATATCATCTTTTTGTACCCTACTTTTGCCTCGACTCCTTTCCCTTTTTCTGCTGCTGCTATTCCTCTTATTTTCTTCTGTATCTCGCTCTCTTGTTTGGTGTAATCGTCTTCAATAAACGTTTTTGATCCTTTTAATTTGTTGTTCTGTTTCATGATTGCTCTTTTTGTGTCCCAGTTCTCTATCTTTGCTACTACTATGTCGTATTTTTCGCTGACTAATCTTGCGTCTTGTATCTTAGTTTAGATTCCTACCTTATTTTTTAGGAGTTCTTCAACCTCTGCTGTTATTTCGCTTCCTTGTAGTTTCCCTCCTTTGATTACGATGTTGTTTCTCCTTTCTGATTTTTCCAGTTTTTCTAAGTCTTGCTCCACTCTTCCTAATCTTTCGGTCAGTCTTTGGTTTTCTTCTCTTAGTGTTGTTACTTCTTCCATTAACGTTTTGAACATATTCTTTACTTCGTCCATGTCTCCTGCTTGTACCCTCTTCTGCTTCCTCTGTACTCTTTGACCTTCCGGTGATGGTGAAAAGGAGGTTTCTATTTTTCGTTTCTGGTTGTCTTGTTCTTCTATTGCTAGTTTGTGTCCTTTTTCCGGTTCAGGATTCCCGTTTAGCATTCCCTGGCCGACTTTCTTGCTTCCTGTGTATCTAGTATATTCCTGTGTTGTTTACTTTGCACCGCGATAAGAACTATCACCCAGACTATCTCTTCGGAGGTTAGGTTCTTTTGATTCCACACTTTCCCAAATAATTGCTGTCCTTACACTTCTTGTTGCTTCTTACTCTTATTCCACTTCACTTCTTTGTTTTCTACTACTTCTCTTTCGCTTTTGACGCTCGATATCTCTCGATTTTCGAGTTTGGATTTCGGAGCGTGTTCTGCTTATCGTAGTCAGGACCGTACCTCATTGATAATAAATAATAATATTTGTTGATAATTTGCGCTAAAACCTCTACCTGGCCAGGAAACGTTTTACACTAGATGAAAATGATTTTGAACCACCTTGTATTATTATAAGAACGGATTCATTTATAATGCCAAACTCGAACTCAGCTCTGTTGTCACTTGATGTGTCGCTTCATTAAGATTAATGATCAGCTCTCGAATCCTTACTTCCAATTGACGCTGAGTAATCAAATCATTGTTTTCAAGAACTTTTATGTAATTACACATTATTTGTTAACAACCTGCCGTAACTTTTGGAGATCATATCATCGCGGTAGCCACGATTTTTACTGCTAGGCTCAAAAATTAATAGAGCATTTGATATGAAACCCATTTTTAACTTTAACTTAACTTATTAACTTTGGGTGTCATGAGATTTTGGACAAAAATTCCTCGAGGAATCGTCAGGCTAACATTATGAACTAGTTAGTGTCACAACATTTTGCAATTTAATTTTGAATCTGCAAAATCGAATGCTTTGAAATCTTAAATTGTTAATCAAAATATATTTGGTTATCCCCTCCAGAAAATTGATGACGTCAGCTCAAAATTTTGCCGAAGAAATATAGTTAAATAAAGTAACCTATAAATCAATAATTCGCATACGGCCGACTTTCTAGCAAACTAAAAAAAATGTCGGACTAATAAGTATCGAGGATCCAAATTTGATCATTACTGTGAAATTATGGGTAATTTCGTTTGCGTTCGACGTCAATAGTGACTTTTTGTTTTCTATTTTGTTATATCTTGTATTCATGATGTTGTATATTCATCTATGTCAATCTTACTGATGTGAAAAAGCGGATTTATTTGGTGCCTGATCATACATCAACATATAGAGACTCCTTAAAATTAACAAACATGAGTTTTTACAAACTAGAGACGAAAAATATTTAAGAAGAATAAAATTTTATATTGCGGACTAAAATTACGAAGTGATCAATTAATTTAACAATGTTTAAACAAACTGAATTGTTTTTAATAACTTCATGTTTGTAAGAAAACGGTTGTTGGTTTAATTGTGACATATTTATACTTATCGTACTTACTTAAACAATATAAATGCTTCAGTTACAAAAGTCCCTCTTGCTCCACGTTGGCCACCAACGAGCGAATTTCACGAATTTTGTGCAACTTTGCTGGCTCTAAATATTTGAATTTTTTGACCTGGATCATTGATGCTCAGCAAGAACTACGGGAAGGCCTGGAGCAGGTCTTGCCAGGAAAGGAGATGGCTACGATTTGTTAATGAGGGATAGAACGGTTATACGGTACAATAAAATACAATACCAATACAATACAGCTACTATACAGATGCAGAAATACTACAGATACAGATACAATACAATTGCATAGTTGGTACCTAAGCACATTCACCACCTTTAGCATTAAAAGCTGGTACCCACTTTAAGAAAAGAGATACCTACATGTTGCAAAATGAATACGGAAGCAAGCACACCGATGGAATTCGGACGAAAAGTATAGGATCGCAGTATTCCCAAGTTCAAGGGAAGAAGGCAGCCCCATAAATCCAAGGTCGACTGACCTCATCTTCATAGAATGATGCGACCCAGCGTCTAAGGGCCAACAGAACCCTTTCAGGTCAAGAGCGACTGACGACATGGAGAATTCAGACTCGGAACCAAAGGATGCACTGTTGCAAAATTAATACGCAAGCAAGTACACCATGAAAATCCACAAAACATTTACACCACTGGAGCTAAATTAGCAAGACCCGTTGCGAAGTTAAGTTAGTAACAAACACATACAATACAATACAGTACAATATGCTACAATTACAAAAGTTACAAGATACACACTGTTCCACGTTTGCCGCCAAAGAACGATGACTGCGCTCGCTCGTTGCTATTGCCCGGAAAGAACCAAACAATACGAGAAGGTCTGGAGCGCGTCTTGCCATGAAAAGAGAGGATTAGGGTTTGCTAGCATGGGTAAAGTACACCTCATTTTGTAAATTATGAACGCCATACCTTATAAATTCCAACGCTGTACTTTAAAAATAATGGTTGCCGTACTTTATTGATGTTGGATGCCACACTTTATAAATTTCGAAATCGTACTTTAAAATCGATGGACACGGTATTTTATGAATTATGAATGAAGTATTCAAAGAAAAATCCGGCATTTTTGGAAAAATATCCTTCGTGTACCCATCATTAACGGAAAATATTTTCAGTAATACATATTTATTAGCAATAAATTAGAGATTCGCGAAAACGCGTTACTTTTACGCCAATCGTCGAAGCTGTCGCCATCAGATCGAAATGAAAACTGAACACAAAGGACCGACAAACGCGATCTTTGTTTAAGTAGTTTACGTGACAATGACGTCATCGTACGTCACGATGAGATTGCAAGAATTATTTTTGGTATTTTAGAAGGGAAATCGCATATTTTCGGAGTTAATTTAACAATATGTAATAAATGATGTTAATTATGTTTAAATATTGCTTACTGTTTCTTGATAATTCATAATTTTTTTATATTTGTCGAATATACGAATCACGGGCTCCGATAAATTAAATCTCAACTCGTACTTACTCCGTTTTCGGGATTTTTTGGAAAAATATCGAGTTTCCGTCATATTCACAGCAGTAACGCAAAACATTTTCACTAGTATTTATTAACAGCAAATTGGAAATTCGTGAGCACGTACTACTTTTAAGCCAAAACGGACTTCCAAATGCTCCGTTGTTGCTGCCACCAGACAGAAGTCAAAACTGAACTCAAAGGAGCAAAAAACGCGACCTTGGCTCAGGTAGCTCACGTGACAGTGACGGCATCGTTTGTCACGATAAGATTGCAAAAATTATTTTTCATATTTTGGCCTAAAACTTGGACATTTTCGAAGTTATATTAATAATGTTTAATAAATAATATTAATTATGTTGAAATATTGTTTACTGTCATGATAATTTATATTTTTTTTATATTTATCGAATATACGAATCATGGACCTCGATAAATTATAACACAATTCGTACATACTCAGTTTTAGCGCAATTTTGGAAAAATTTCCAACTTCCATCGTGTTAAAGCACTAACGTAAAAGATTTTCGGTAATATTTATTAACAATAAATAAAAAAATTCGCGAAAACGCGTTAATTTTACGCCAAAACGACACGCCGATGTTGTCGCTATCAGATCGAAATGAAAACTGAACACAAAAGACCGAAAAACTTGACCTTTGCTCAGATAGCTCACGTGACAGTGACGTCATCGTACGTCACGATGCGACTGCAAAAATTATTTTTCAAATTTTGGCCGGGGAATTGCCCATTTTCGGGGTTAATTTAACAATATTTAAACACAATGAATTGTTTTCAATAACTTCATGGTTTTCGGTTTAATTATGACGTATTGATGCTTATCATGTATTTCAATGGTATAAATAATGATAACTATTTTTAAATATTGTTTATTATGTCATGACAATTTATATTATTTTTATATTTGTCTAATACACTAATTACGGACCCAGATAAACTAAAACTCAAATCGCGCTTACTCCGTCTTCGGACATTTTTGGAAAACCATCCGCTTTCTTTCGTGTTCACATGTAAAACATGTTTACTAATAATTATTAACAATAAATTAGAATTTTGCGGACATGTGCTACTTTTAAGCTAAAACGAAGCTCCGATGTTGCTGCCACCAGAAAGAAATCAAAACTGAACACAACGCGAATTTTGCTCAAGTAGTTCACCTGACAGTGACGTCATCGTACGTCACGATGAGATTTCTAAAATTATTTTATAACTTAGAATAAAGTAATATCTCCAATGTTAAAACAGAAGCGTGCTAAGTGTATGTTTCAAATGAGTTTTTCCTTTACAGAATTTTGTGATAACGGCATTACCATGGAATGAGCCGTTTCTGATTCAGTTAATAAAATAAATTGACTCATTCATTAATTTGTGAAGTAAATAAAAGAAGTTCACTCTATGACGCTTTCTTCGACAGGGGAAAATTTATTGTTATGTTTACGGTCACCGTGGAATTCCATTGGCAACAAATAGTAGTTTAACCCAAAGAATTTTCTAATATTGCATGTATTCTTATTTTTTTCGACCAAATTTTTTATTCATAAAAAATATAAACTGTTGAGATTTAGAACATCTTTATTAATTAATATAAAGTATTTGGTGTCTACAAAAAAAATTGTTGTCAATGTGTGCGTTTACAATTAATAATATAATTAAATAATCATCTTGTAAATACTAAACAGTAGAAAGAACATTGAAATTTGTAATTGTAAGAATCAAAATGAGGTTTATAAAAAAAATCTAACTTCCTACAGCATACAGTTTCTAAGGGTGATTAAGTACATCTTTTTTAAATGTTTTGTAAGAATGTCAGAGCCTTCACACAACAACTTTTGTAATTTTAGATTAAACTAGATAACACAATTACAAATTAGACCAAATATTGAATTACAAAAACGGTTTGTAATTTTTTAGTATTCTTCGGTATCTATGTAATAACACTGTAACATCTTTTATCCAGTATTTCTAGATGTAGGTATCCAAAGTTTCAACAGTTTATCTTAATAAATAAAAAGATAGATAGATGTTTTAGCTAAAACATCTCTTACTGATAACGCCAATAAAAATATTTTCCTGAGGAAGCCGTTTAAAGGTAATATGTACAAAGCTAATATTGAGCACTTAACCAGTCGATTAATCTAGTAATAATTATTCGTATTCCAAATGCTAAACTTGTTGTACGACATGAAACATAAAGCTCGCACGACTATTAATAACTTTGGTGGTGACAGTATATTGACGATAGATTCGAGATGCAGAAGCTAACGACGACACGACTCTGTCAAGATCCACACAATGAAGCACGTATAAATTTCGAAGAGAGGCCCGCTGTCGCTGTGCACATCCAGTTTCCTGAAGCTTATGTAGTAATAAATAAGGGACGTGTGCTTTCTAGCGCAATGGCGCAAAGATAATTATAAATTGTGTGCTAATTTTTTTTTTGACAAGAAGTTTACTCGACAATGTTTACCAGAACTTTATTGTCTATTTATGCTTGGAATGTTTTCTACTGCAGTGTCCCAGTACAATTTAAATTTAGCGCCAGAAAGAATGACAGTTTTGTTATGCAGATTTGCTTTCTTCTTTAACCAAAGGGCCAATCTGCTGTAAATTAAAAGGAACACCATCGTTACCCCCAACCCGCAACTGTAAGTAAAGTTTAGGATGATTTTAATTTATAATGCGTCCATGTTGCGTATTACGACGCGACGCAACGCTGCGCAACGCAACGCTCGGAAATTCCAGCTATTACGTCATCTAGACTGGTGTTGTCGACCATCTGGCCGTGGTTTTTTTAAGATCCGTTCGGAATCTTAAAGGAACAAGAATTGTTGTTTGACTTTACGCGATTTCTCGAAATTATACATTTTATTTTGTTGAGTAGTAACGAAGAAATTAACAATTTTATGCAAGTGAGGTATAGAATATTTTATAAGATTTTAAACTGAGATATGTTTAAGGAGATGGATGGTTTTCATAAATTAAACATTATTTAAATTTAATAGATTCTCATTCGTAATTTTAAAATTGTAATTGGCAGTATTTACGATTTAATAAACATTGCTTTGCTTTGGAAATTATCAGTGAAGTAAATGTCATCGTGAATACGAAGAGGAAATTTTATTTTTGTGTATCAACAATATTTCGTATGTGTTTTTATGTATGTTTGTAATGGGAAATTTGATTCACTATGAAGTCTAAATGGATTAATTCTGATTTATCGAAACTGACACCTTGTAAGTGTTCAGATGTATTTGAATTCTTGATTTAAAGGTTATATCTTTGTTGCCATTTTGAGTTAGGGCACGGATCCGAGTTTAAATGGCCAATTCGCCTATCGGATGCAATCCCCGAAAACGAGCATTTTATGTTATCAACATAACACTTACCTACCCAAAAAGTGTAATGTGAGTATGAAAAAGTGTAATAAATATATATCCATTAATGATAAATGCCATAAAATTGGTATTGTTACTCAAATCACGTTAATAATCCAGTTATAGCCTTGGCGTATTCGTGTCATTAAATAGAAGGATATAGTTTCCGTATAGGTATGGATATGCTAAACACTGCATTAATGGCACTATCGTCGCATAAAGTTTCGGCACAACTGGTGTGGTTCCATTTAAGTCCACTTCCCCGTGTTTTATGATAGAGTGCACTCACGCATTTTATCCAAATCCACTTAAAATAATTAATCCTCTTATTATTCATAAGTTTTATTTACCCTCAGGGGGATGGACAGTCACTTCTTGATTTTTAGCACGTTCGACGTGGAGGGATGACAAGCCCACTAACTAACCTCGCAGAATTTAATTTAGCGGTCTGGATAATTCTTTATTTAGGGACGGCCTTCGAAATTTTCTGTAGGGGTTTAGCTACGTGTTTCTGAGCAGTAACAGATTAAAATTTGAAAGTATAATCACCAATCACGTTTCTCTCAAGGGTTCTGAAGCTCCTCACTAACAACAACCTATCAGGAAAAATGTAGTCGAAATAATGAACGCTCGACGTTTACGGTTTAGTTATTAAAGCTCGCAACTTCAATTTTAACAAATTCTCTGTCTGTTTTGTGATATTGGTTTGTTTGATAGCTATCTGCATGTTTACTGCAGAATCCTGCTTGTGGAATAAATCGTCGATTTTATTGTTTCTTATCCGATTTTGTTTTCTATAAACTGATAAAGACGTAAGGTATCTCTAAAGGTTATTCCGCAAACTCTACATCTCTATCTACCTTTTTCAACGTGTGCTGCAACATAAAGGGGATGATATATTAGGGAGAGTTGACCGCCTTCGCATCGGAACGAATTCAATCAATTGCATTCGAGATAGCTGCATCAGAACTTACTGGTAAACGATGCAATGATATCCAGCCAACTCAAGCAAACCTATCATTCTGATCCGATTTTATCGGGTTATCCATTCCATTTTATAATGGATTTCCATGTTATGCTTCACGAATAAATCGAACAGTAAATTGGGCGTTTATAAACAAGCAATATTCTGCACATGCATTTAAATGTTTGTACGATAAAATCAGGTGTTGGTTTAATTGGTGTAGGGATTCAGAACTATTTGCTTTTTTCACTATATAATTGTACTGAATTGCATCAAATGTTAGAGTGATATATTGTTTTATTTAATATTAAACCATTGTAACCATTACATCTACAATAAACTAATCGTTAAATTTAGTTACTGTCTATTGGATATTGCTACTATTAGTATTTACCTAGGAGGGTGTTTTTGTTTAAAATCGACATTATCAGTTTTCTAGTTGTGGTGGTTAGGACCTAGATTATCTATTGTGTATTATTTATGATTCTCTGATTATTATCAGCATTAACTACTATGTATCATTCAGTCTTTCCTGTAAAATGACAATGTCATCTGTAAAATTGGTCTAAATATATTTAAATAGAGTTTTCCAAAATTACTGCAGAAAGAATATAGTGCAAGACAGAATGCGTCAATATCAACAACAACTTTGAACAAAATTTCTCATTTTTGTTTCTACTTTAAATGTTAATTAATTTTGAAAAAATAAATTAATTTATCTTAGAATCTTGCAGATGAAACACCTACAGTGCTAGCAAACATCCAAGGAAATATTATCAGAAGAGTCTGTGCATGTCTAGATGCATGTTTTTTTATTTTTAGTGTACTTAATAATAAATATTAAATTTATTTATTTATTTCAACGGGTAAATCACCCAATTACAGAAATAAATTATAAAAACAACAATACAAAATAAACCTAAATTCAAGAAATATAATTCCTAACCTAAATTATCTAAATGATTAATTAAGATGCTACGTATGTGATTAAAAGAATCAAAATAAATATCACAGTATTCACCAATGGTATTGAAATAGTTACATATAAGTAATATTGGTGATCTCTTTAAAGCATTAGAACTACAAAAAGGAGATTAGAATGTAACTAAATGTCTAGGTAATAAAAAATATATTTTGCCTACCAGATATGCACATTCGCTATTATAATTAAGTAAGTTATACAAGAACTTAATGATGATAATTGTACGTTTGGTGCTTAGTGAACAGAAATTAAATCTACGTAATAATGTTCGATGATCACAACCTTGTGGTAGATAGGTACCATCTATCAAGTAGGAAACAAGTTTCAAAAATTTTCTCTGTACCTTTTCCAATTGTTGAATGTGTATAGCATATATAGGATGTCAGATCAACGCACAGTATTCTAGACGAAATCTAACTAAAGAGTTAAACAAAGTGAGTAAAGCTTGTACATTAGAGAATTCACGGCAATTTAAAACATAAACCCGTACATTTTATAAGCTTGGGAAATACATTCAGAATTATGGTTGGTAAACAGAAAATTTCGATCGAAAGTGACACCCAGATCTTTGAAGATTTCCAGACGACTTAAAAATCCACCTTCAATACAATAATTGAAATTAAGAATGTGTTCTTTCTTAGAATATGAAACAATAAAACATTTTGCTTTATTTAAATATAACCGGTTATTTTAAGAGTTCAGTCTCTTAGTGATTTTATTTCAAGAAAAAGTTTCAGGTCATCAGCGAAGAGTAGCTTGCAGCTAAGTATTACATCAACCACGTCATTGATAAAAATTGTAAACAATAATGGTCCTAAGTTGGAACCTTGCGGTACACCAGAACCAGGTCAAAAAGAATTCGAGACGAAATTGCGATGTTCAACAGATAATTCTCTGCCCTGAAGGTAAGATTTCATAAGCCTTAGTAAGGGTTTAGTAAAACCAAAACACCGGGGTTTATTTAGTAAGATGTAGTGATCTCTCTGATCAAATGCCTTGCACAAAAACAGTGTAGATAACATCTACTTGGTGTTTATGATCGATTGCCTCAGAAACAAATTGACTGAAGGTAGCTAGATTAGTAACAGTAGATCTTTTCTCAATAAAGCCGTGCTGAAAAGGTGATATAAAGCTTTTTATATTGGAATATATTCTTTTGTATAATATGGACTCAAAAGCTTTCGCAAAATTGCAAGGTATATATATGGGTCTGTAATTCTCTACGCGCGTCGGATCACCTTTTTTAAAAATTGGCGTAACAGAAGCCTTTTTCCATATATCTGGGAACATTAATGAAGTTAACATTAAATTGGAAATATAATAAAGCGGTTTAACTAAGATGTATGCACAATCTTTTACTAAAAAGGTAGGTACATTATCAACACCAGAATTGAATGAATTGAACGTTTTTAATACCTGAAGAATTTCATCTTCTGAAATTTGTGGGATTGCAACAGTTAGACTAGGTAAATCAGGACCAGTGAAACTAAAATTTAAATTTGGATTAGAGACAGTAAAAACGCTGTCGAAAAATGTGCCAAAGTCGTTGACGATGTCAACTGGGTTGAATAATTCAGAGTTTTGATAAAACATAAGACCTGGAATTCTCGAACTCCCTTTCTTATTATGAATGTACGACCAAAATTTCTTCGGATCAGAAGAGATTTCATTTTGAATATTAGGCATATAGTTTTTGTAAGTTGTGATTGTTAGAACTTTGCATAGAGACCTGAAATATTTAAATTTATCAAGATAATATTGAGATTTATTGCGATTGTACTTTTTATGGTAGTAGTTTTTCTGATCAATACAATTAATGATATCCTGGGTAAACCAAGGTGGAAACCTGCGATTTCTAGTATTATTAAATTTAAAGATAGGAACGAAGGAGTCAAAAGACTTATACAATAAGTCATAAAATACTGAACATGCATCGCTAATATTTTTGATGCTTTGAAGATTTGACCAGTCAGTAGTTAGAACTGAGTTATACAATCAGTGAAGTTAGCTTTTCTAAGATTACACTGTTTTGAATTTGAATTCATTTGAAAATTACTAATAGATTTAACTTGATGCTCACATTGAATTTCCAACGCAGGATGGTAATCATCTTCTTTAATTAAAGGATTGATTGACTTGTCGACAACAGGAGATAAATTGGAAAAAATTAGATCCAGACTTCGATTTAAGATATTACGTATAGTATTATATTGGAATAAATTAAGAAGACTAGCAAAGTTATTTAATAGTACTGAGAATCTGTCATTAGTGTTTAACACAAAGGAAGGAACATTAAAGTCACCAATAATGATTAATTGGTTGAAATAAATTCCCTCAACATTAATAAGAAGATCTAAAAAGAGTTCAAACTCATCGAATGAAATGCAAGGCGTAATATAAGTAGACGATAAATACAAGGATATGTTTCCTGGACACTGTAGACACAGCAGAAGTAATTGAAGATAAATTAATTTCTACACAAATGTAAGAATTTTTCACGGCAAACAAAACATCACTACCCCTTGAACCTCTTACTAAATTATAATCTCTATCTTTTTTGAAAAGTCTTGAGGTATAATCTCGTCGGAAGAGATCTGTAATTAATTAATAAAATTATTACTATGAAAACAATAGTTATATGTTCAACATTATTTTATTTGTTGATGATTTTGTGAACACATACAAAATGTTTCCTTAAAAATTTTTGTATCTTAAAAATGGAACAATTTTCAACTAAAGTGCAGACAGTCTGTTTGACTGTGTATTTTTTCTGTATTAGTTTTGTAACACTCTGCATGAATTATACAATTTGATTCTGCGACTTTTAATTTTTGTTAGGACACCTATAAGTTAAGACAAAAATAGACTAAGAGACTCACTGAAATTCTTTCCAAAATCGAGGTCACTTAATTTGAAATTATTTAAAAAATAAAACAACGAAGGTTCCATAGATTTTCAAATTCTTGCAAAAATAAAACACAAGGGTTCCTTTCATATTACTGCAAAAAGTTCATTTAAAATTAAACACCTGAAGTACCGAACACAGTGTGAAGATCTTAAAATACTTGATTCTTCGGATATTATTTTTTGAAACTAACTGCTATAAGCTCAGACCCAAATAATGTGGATTGTTGAACTATTTTCCGTGCGTTTTATATGATTTTGTTTTGATAAATTTTTGTGATGCCGTAGTCAATATTTTGGTAGGAATAAATATTTATCAATTTGAGTAGGTATAATGTAAGACCAGTAAGGTTTTTTTTAGCTAATTAATAAGGTAACTAGACCCTACATGGCCTATCCAGTTGTAATTTTAATTATATATTTTTCTGTAGACCGAGAGTGGAAACTAACAAAACAGGATGTAAAAAAAAGTAAAAAAAAGTCTTTTACAAGCAAGCAACACCCTCTTCATTCCAGAGATTACCCTTAATAAGGCGGGGTAAATTATATGTTCTTCTTCTTTTTTTTGTATTATTTGCCATAAAATTTACTTCTTATTTCAGAACAAAAAATAAGAAAGAACGAGTGGGTAGGTGGCGCTAAGTTTAACTTTTTCCTATAGTCTGATATAAGCAAGCAATTTGCAGAACGGCCTACAGAAATATGATTTTTCGATTTTTTAAAAATTACATTTTAATCTGAATTTTCTGAAGTCTTGAGCTGGGATCATAAAAACCCTGTATTCTTGAAATCAGCAAGTCGAAATCTATATTAAAAAACTGTTTAAAAATGTTTTAGGCTTTTTTAATACAAAAATTTTATTCTCATGAAAATTTTACAATAAATTTCTTCATTCATTAATTTTTTTTTGAGTTACCCTATACATGTAAACAGTTTTAAAAAACAATGCATTAATACACCTGATTATTTTATCTTCTTCAATGTTTTACACATTTTGGATAAGATTTGTTAAAACTTGAGATGAGGTAATCAAGTTTTTGAAGAAGGTCAACAAAAATATTTTGCTTAGTGATTTACCATTCTTACGATAACCGTAAAAAGTTTGCGAGATTTCGAAGCAGTCGATTTTATAGCTTCTAAGCAAATCATAAAATGTTAGACATGTTTTATTTTAGACGAATTTAGACGTCTAAGATATTTGCAACTGGCAAATTTGTAAACCACAACTTCCGAAGCATTATTTTATAACATTTAAGAATCACTTTGCAAAATTTTGAACTGATGTCATTAAATTTGTTTGTGGGGATGATCAAACAAGTTATGGGTAGCGTTTTACCGTCTACACGATATTCCCAAATGTGTATAACATTCCAGAATAATAATCAGACGACAGAGCATAGACAAACGGAAACGGAATACCTAATTTTTCATACTCTTGGGGTTATCAGAAGTCGAGAAAACACAAAATTATGCATTTGTCAAATGGAGCCTATGAGTAAATAACGTATGTAACAAAAGTTTTAAGAAAAATTACAAATATATTATCTAGTTTTTTATTGTAATCGAGTCGGTCCGCCGACTCTACTTTTACGTTTTCTCGATTTTTTTAAATCCGTTTATTCCATTAATCAAGTCAAGAACGGCTTACTCCATTTTCCCGAAAATTTGAGAATACAATACTGTTATTATTACACTGCACCAGTCCAAGTTGTTATACGTTAAAAATATTGATGACGTCATCACAAAATCTTGTAAAGTAAAAACTCATTTGAAACATACGCACAGCACGCTTCTTTATTTTTACTTTAACATTATATACTTACATATGTTTATTTCACTTATAGGGGTTATCAAAAAAAACCTAAAAAACCAGTTTTATAAATTTTCGAAAATGCGGGATGTGTTTTATAGTATAGCGAGGGAAGTATGGAAATAGTTGAATCTCGCGAGAACGGTTGATCACAACTTATTGAAAATTGGTACACAAGTAAAAGTATTTGAATTCTATCTTCTGAAATATTATTCCAATTTCCATCAACATTTTTTTAAACAGCACGAGGAATATTTTTTAAAACAACATTTTTTTCTGTATTCAGAGATGTAACACACGTCTTTCTTTATTTGCAATAAAAGGGAAAAAAAAATTAAAATTATAGAATCTAGAAAAATATTTTTCTTTGTTTTATTTCTGTTAAATGTGTTATTTTTATCATTATTATTAACTTTTATTTAATTTTTCTATCAAGTTGGCCTTGTATCTTCTGAACAAATGTCAATGGAACTTTGAATAACATTTCAATGGATACAGTTCAAATACTTTTACTTGTGTACCAAATTTCAATGAATTCTGATAAACCGTTCTTGCAATATTCAACTGCTTCTACACTTTTTAGCAACCCTGTATATCAGGCCAAGTACCTAAAAGTGGAATTGTAAGTATATTTAGGACCAAAAATATTTCACGGGCGACTATATACAGAACAATTAAAGGCGAGGGAGGAATACCTTGTATTAATTTGCCAAAACGTATCCGGCCACGAATTTTCAATGAAAGAAGTCTACAAATGCTAAAGACAAGATTGGAACATTAACAAGAAAATTGGGTCTTTTATTTAGAGTTTTCCATGGACAATTTCTAAAGAAATATGCACAAACAACTTAAAATACCGCAAAAGCGCTAAATATGTCCGAAATATAGAGTATCGTAGTTAGAAATAATTCCCATATCTTGCCGAGCATTGGGAATTCATAATTTTCTAAAAAATCGTGTGGTTGTGCTGGACAATGAAAAATATTTTACGTTTGCCAATTCAGAGATGAAACGTAACGACTGATTTTTATACAAACGATAGTTACATATAGAAGAAACTCCAATTAATGCAAGGTTAAGTCGAAGACAAAATTCGAACATAAAATTTTGGTTCGGTGTGCTATACGTACGGCCGGCGTTTCAGCACTATTCTCTGGCCGTGTTGGAGGTAAAGCGGTCAATGTAGACATGTATACACAACGATGCCTACCAAAATTACAAGATTTTATAAGGGAACATCTTTATAACGACCATATAATATTTAGAAAGCTGCCATTATGCCAGGATTTGTTAGAAAGAAATAATATACGACCAATCGCCCAATTTTGTAATATTGGGTAGAAAAGTTTACACCAATGGTTGGGAAGCCAATTCAGAAGAACAATTAAGAAGAAGAATCTACCAGAAAAATAGAGAAATTGACATTGACGCCATCCAAAGGTTGTTAAGACCTATGAAGGCAATTTTGCGTAGTATTTAAATTTAAATACAATTAAGTTAATGCGTCTTTATTAATTTAAACGTTTTCTCAAAACTGTTGTCACATACGTTATCTGTTAAATAAATTTTTTGACAAATGCCCTGCTTCTATGTATTGAAATGATTTAATTTATCGATAATTATCACTTATCAGGAACGACCCTTTTAATTTTTCTGAAAGTATATTTAGTGTTACATTGTACACATCACATGAATTCTCACCCAGAAGTCAGTCACATCGTTTCAGAAAGTTACAGAATAAACCTTATCTTACGAATCAGATACAAATTCTTAAATGGCATTTTTAAAGCTGCTAGCCATTTATGTCCTGAAAAAATAACAAAAGCAATACAAAGTCGAAGGAACTTCTGTGTAAATAACTTTAAAGATTTTTTTGTGTTTCTTGGGATACCTTTTATAAAAAAAAGTAATAATTAATGGAGCGAAAATATTAAAGAATTCGTATCGCCTCAAGAAAGCTCTTGCATAAAGCCTGATCTATTTAAGAGATGCCTTTCTACGCGTTCAATATTAACGTCGTCCCCTGCAGCAACATCACAGGAGTTTACGACTTTTTGTCTTATTCATTTTATGAGCTGCTTTTTACTTCCTATTCGAATAAAATTTGTTGTGATTAATGTCAATAAAACAGTGATGTAAACCATTAACATTAACCAAAGACGCAGGCAGTAAAAGTAATAATAACGAAATGATCTGTAATGCTGCAATATTTCACTTAAACCGAATTTGTTTTCCTTTATAAATTCTCAAATAAATAAGCTTAAAACTGTCCAGACGCGTATATTCCCACACAACAATTTAGAAACTGGTCGCTCATTGTTGTCTCAGGTAATTATTTTTTTGATTGTCGACGAACAGCAGACTGAGGGAGACACAAATTGTCACGTGACAAGGGTAGACGTCAAATACCAGCAAATACAAAAATAGCCTTTACAAGATGCCACTGTTGTGAGTTTTATATCTTTTTTACTGCTTCGGTCAATAACAAAACCACCAAATAATGTAAACTTCACAGGATTTCAAAAGTGGACTCTTGGGAATGAAGTATCAACTGCATGAAAGAATCGCAAGTGTAATTATTCTACTGGCACTGAAATGTCTTTGATGTGGTTTTCCGTTAAAAAACGGAAAAATAAGTATATGGTAGTGTAAAGAAAAATCAAATCACCTAACCGGGAGTTGGCGATAAATCTACAGTATTTGTTGACTTGCTGCAGCAGACGAAATAAGTTCCTGCTTTTATTGTTTTTTTCAAATTGTAACAGTTTGCAGTAGCAGCAAAGTAACAACGATGTGGTAGGGAGTTTATGACAAAAACTTAGATATATACATATTTTATATGATTCATCGAATATTCACATTGTGTCTAAAGTGAGCTTTTTGTTCTACAATTTTATAGATTCCAATATAAATTTTTACTACCTAATATTAACAACATTAAAATATGCGTGCCATTTTTTTTTCTATTACTTGCACATTTCTTTAACTAAATAATCCACTTTTGAAGTTCGATAGTTAAAAACCGTTTAAATTTGTGTTTGCAAAAACAGTGTTTGTAAGATTGACAAACTTTGGTTCACCGTGTGCAACAGACGTGCTTGTTTTCTACATGCAGAAAACAAGCACGTTTTACAATGATGGAACAATCTTTGCCAGAAATGCATTTATTTCTGGGGCCTATCTGTAAATGTATTTATTTATTTATTTATTTATTTATTTATTTATTTGTAACGGAATCTCCAATTTACATTATGAATTATTAAACTAAATTATCTAAATAATACATATTCTAACAGAGAGTTCCCTAATAAGTAAATTAAAAACAAAAAATATTCATGGCTTGGCGGTTACTAATATGAATACAATAAATCAGGAAGTAAAATCTACTGTTATAAAATAACAAAATTTTGAATATAAATTTGGACAAAGGAGAATCAAATTTCGATATGTTGCTGTTGTTCGAATAATCATTTGTAGCTAGCATCATTCTATGTAAAGGATGATTATGACCTATATTCGACGTAGATGGTGCTACCCTAAAAATATCTTCACTTCGAGTTGTGCGGCTGTTGACGGCAGGGTACAAGAAGGAGAGTCTTGATAGCAGCGATGGATTGTCAATACGACCATTTAATATCCCGTGCAGAACACAAGAATCCGTTATATATCTTCGAATATATAGGGGTTGTATATTAAAATGATGTTGAATCCAATTGTAGTTGACATAATATAACACTTATCTAAATTTAAGGGGAGTAAGTTGTTACTGCACCACTCAAAAAGCATGTCAAGATCTAATTGTACTTGTTCTAAATCTTGTGTATCTCGAATGACTTTAAAGATCTTTAGATCGTCCGCGTACAACAAATAATTTGAATATCGTAAACACTGCGTTAAATCATTTATGAATAACAGAAATAGAACGGGTCCGCAATGAGTACCTTGCGGAACACCAGATGGAACAGAGAAAGACGATGAAATAAAGTTATCAATGCGAACTTGCTGGCACCTGCCTGACAGAAAAGATGCTAACCACTTGATAGTGTTATCTTTGAAACCAAGTTTATCCAGCTTTAAAAGTAATAGTTTATGATTAACGCGGTCGAACGCTTTTGCGAAATCGGTATACACTGAATCGACTTGCAAATGATTAACCAATGCTTCGTTTAGAAATGATCGATATTCAAGGAGATTCGACAATGTGGACCTGTTAGAGACGAAACCGTGTTGTTTAGATGAGATAACTGAAGACGAAGCCCATTGAAGTTGCCTAGTTACAATGGAATCAAGTAACTTTGGAATTGCTGATTGACAACATACACCTCTGTAATGTTCAACTACATATATTACGTTTGCCAGATTTAAAAATGGGCATAATGAAGCTGTTCTTCCACATTTTAGGGAAAATACCATCCCTCAAAGGGGTTTCAAACAACAAAAGCAGTGGTGAACAAAGAGCAAACTTACAGTTTTTTATAAGGATACTTGGTATACCGTCAGGACCTGGACTGCACGAAGATTTCAATTTAGAAATTTCATCGAAAATATCAGACAAACAAATCTTTAGACCCATATCATTTACATCGTAACTGGATTTGAAATCACAAACAAATTTATTGGAATCATCTTTTACGTAAACAGATGCAAAATATTGAGCAAAAGCATTGGCTATCTCTTCCCCACCTTTAACACATTGATGTCCAAAATTCATTTCGTTGGGGATGTTAGATTCTCCATGTTTTTTATTATTAATAAATTTCCATAACAATTTTGGATTGCTCACCATACTACGATTGACGTTTGAGATGTATTCGGCATATACCTTCTCAATTAGTTCATTACACCGATCTCTCAAAGTTTTAAAATAAAGGTAGTCATCAAGTTTGCCGGTGTTTTTAAACGTGCAATGAGCAGTGGTTTTCAACCGACATAATTCTTTAAGTTCTTTATTAAACCAATAAGGGTATTTACTAGTTTTACGATTGATCACTTTATAGGGAATAAATTTCACTATGCCATAAAATAAAATCTCATAAAAGATAGCAACTTTTTCGTCAAGATTTTGACCCACCAAACACGATTCCCAGCAAACAGATGAGTAAAAATGGTTTAAACGTTCATAGTTACCATTAATAAAATCAAAAATACGAAAATCAGATTTCAAAGAAGGTGCAGATAAACAGGAAAGAGACCAAGAATAAGGAGAATGATGACAACTACTAGGAAATATGGGATCTAATGCAGAGCAGACATCAAGATTATCAACGTTTGAAAATAGATCTAGGAATACATTTTTCATATTAGGAATTTTATTAATTTGCGTCAAATTCATTAGAGCACATGTAGAACTAATTAAATCATATTCAAGAGAATTGTTGAGACCACATTCACCATCATCATTCCAATCAATATGTGGTAAGTTAAAGTCACCAGCAATAAAAATTGATTCTATGTCTTGACAGAAGTTAACATAAGAAGTAAAATAACTTGCAGGAGGGATATATACTCCACCGACAATTAAGTTTAAATCATGATATTTTACATGGATGTAAATACTTTCGATAAAGTTTCCAAGAAGAATTACCGCAGATTCGAATTCCTTTTTTACAGCTATCAGTATTCCACCTCCACGTATTTTATTACTAGTATTAACATTTCTATCCCTAAATATATTATAGTTGTTTAAATTTATTTCAGAACTGGTAATGTTATCACTAAGCCAAGTTTCAGAAATAATAATAATGTCATAAACACAAGAGCTAACCTTAATTGCGAAATCCTTTAATTTAGACCTTATGCCACCAGCGTTTTGGTAACAAAAACTAATTACTTTTTTGGATGAGTACCCCGAGAAATATTTTTTTTCCACAATATATGGCATATTGTTTTTATATCTCAACATAACGTTAGTATTCCCTTGAGCAACCTTATCCTTAAATTCTTTCCGTATTGAATTATTATAATCTCGCTGTAATTTTGTCAAATCAGGTCGGAAATGGTGATTACGATTATTATTATTCTTATTTGATCGTAGGACATCTTTAGCTATATCGTCATTTTCATAGACGATCTTTAAAGGGCGAACTACACTAGGCTTAGGCATACCAACACGAATGATTTTCTTAGGCTGCGGAAAAGAACCTAAAGGCGCAAGAATAGAATTTACTTGCAAAAGATCATCCTGAAACTTTTCTTCTGAATTCGATGAAATAGATTCACTTATATTGAACAGCAAAACTTACTTACGCGACTTACGCTCTTCAATTTCTGATACAACAGTATTGAAGTCCAAAGGATTATCCATTTTTACGTTAGATTATTTAAATTCTGTCCATTCGTCTTGAATCAAGCGTACATTTTCTTCAACTGCAGATAATCTACCCTTAATTATTTTAAAATTATCTTCAATGGTTTGTTTAGTCTCAAGCTTAATAGTCATCAATTGTGATCTAATAATTTCCTCCAACTTTTCAGCAGTAATAGGTGCACTACTCGAAGTAGAAGCTGTAACACATTTCGAGCACACCCAATGAGACTTTTCATTTATTATATTGGCCATATCAGAATCTCCTAATTTCAAGCATTTTAAGTGGCACTATTTTTTACATGGGCTATTACATTTCGTGGAGGGTGTTGTTGGTGTTATTGCACCCTCACAATGTAAACAAAAGTTGGTCATATTGAAAAATAAACAAGAACGGGGACACAATTCTTCTCGCACCAACGGAGTCCGTCGTGGTGACTAACAGAGTGAGACAAACACACTTGGACTACGGTAGTGTTAACACAGGAGAAACAAAGATTGCAGTATAGACCAAATTATTTCAATTAACAGAGGCTTGATAACGTTATTCGAGAAATAGTCGAAAAAGATACAGTAAAAAGGTGAACTCAATTTAGTTAATTAATACTAAAATGCTACAATGCCACTCTATCAAAAGTGGAAGAAACTCACACAGCACATGGATCGCCATTACTCAGATGCACTGTCCAAAATTCAGCAATTATCAGCGTAGCAAACCACCAAAAATTCGGGAAAACTCAGGAGCACATATATCATCAAAAACCAATATAAATAAAATTTCCATAATTTTCTTTTTATTTTCATATTTTACAAAATTATTTTATTAATTAAATTTAGAATTTTGGATACTGAATCAAGTTATAATAAGAATGTAATTGATTTCTGACTAAACAGATACTAGGTATACTTATGAAAATTTCTCCCAATTCCTCCAGATTTACTACGTGTACATCGTAGACGGGTTTTCGTGGTATCGCCGCATTTCTGGGTTCCCATATCTGTCTTACGTAAATCCATAGATTTTCTTATTTTAAAATCAAAGAAAGTATAAGCATATAATATGTATAATAATATTATGGATTTGCTACGTAGAACTGGGATTCCAAGTGACGTCAAAGTCTTTTACAATTAGATCTTTTCAGACGTTACATGCAATATACTTAATTATAATGAAATGCAGTTAATTTCCTGAAGTAAGTCATAACTTGACATTTACAGTAGCTGAGGTATGTGTGAGTAATCATATTTTGACCTCATTAACAAATTTAATTTTATGAGAAAAGTATAGATCCAGCCATTTAAATTTCGAATTTGTAGGAAAAATATGTATGTTACAGTCCCAGAAATAATATTTGAAATACTTGTGAAATTAAGTTTAAGGGTTTCGACGAATATACTCGTATAACATTGGCAATGGCCACAAAAATCATTTGGGCAAAATAACAACTTACTCCCCTTAAATTTAGATAAGTGTTATATTATGTCAACTTTTAACATAAAATCTAACATCAGTTTTAAATACCAACTGAATAAACATTGTATTAAACGTGTGACTCAGATTAAGGATTTAGGAGTAATTTTCGAGTCATCACTTTCCTTTAAAAGTCATTATTCCTATATATCCCAAAAAGCTTTGAACATGTGGGGGTTTATTTGACGAAATTGTCATGAACTTTCACCTTTGGTCCTTAAAAGTTGATATTGCTCTTTAGTTCGGACACACTTAGATTATTGTTCACCTGTTTGGTCACCTTTATATAATGTTGATCGGGAGTTGCTAGAAAATGCTCAGAAAAAATTTTTGAGAGTTCTCGAATTTAAAGTAGGCTTCAAATATATTAAAGGCGACTACAATCGGATTCAACATCATTTTACCATACAACCCCTATATATTCGAAGATATATAACGGATGCTTGTGTTCTGCACGGGATATTAAATGGTCGTATTGACAATCCATCGCTGCTATCAAGACTCTCCTTCTTGTACCCTGCCGTCAACAGCCGCACAACTCGAAGTAAAGATATTTTTAGGGTAGCACCATCTACGTCGAATATAGGTCGTAATCATCCTTTACATAGAATGATGCTAGCTGCAAATGATTATTTGAACAACAGCAACATATCGATATTTGATTCTTCTTTGTCCAAATTTAAATTAAAAATTTTGTTATTTTATAACAGTAGATTTTAGTTCCTTATTTATTGTATTCATATTAGTAACTGCCAAGCCATGAATATTTTTTGTTTTTGTATTTACTTATTAGGGAAGACTCTGTTAGAATATGTATTATTTAGTTAATTTAGTTTAATAATTCATAATGTAAATTGGAGATTCCGTTACAAATAAATATAAGTATAATAAATATATGGTAAAACGCTAACCAAAATTTGTCTAATCATCCCCACCACTAATGTGTGTAATGTAATGATAATGAGAGTTATGACTCCGAATTGAGATTTTACCCGAAACATCCAGATTTTTGAAAAAAAAAAAATCAAAATTAGGAAACAACATTTTGACATTTAATTTGGAATCTACAAAACTGAATGTTTTGAAATTTTGCAAATGGTTTACAGTTATGATAAGCATGATAACATTTTAATCACAATATATTTACTTGTCCCCTCCAAAAAATTGATGACGTCAGTTCAAAAGTTTGCCGAATAAATCATATCTAAAATGTACAATATATGATGAGTCTGTACTTGTGATTTATCTTTCCATTCATATTTTTTGGATTTGCACATAGAGGGTGACTCAAAAAAAAAATGAATGCGTTAATGTATTTTATTGATTAAATCGGAAACTACATAACCAAATGCTTTGAAATGTTGGAGATGTTTTAAAGTTATCATAAGCATGGTAAATTTTTGATCAAAATGTATTTGCTCATCCCCCCTAAAAAATTGATGACGTTACCCCAAAATTTTACTGAAAAAATGTGTAAAGAATTATGAATCTGTACTTGTGATTTATCACTGCATTAATATTTTTTAGATTTCCTTATACAGGGTCTCTGAAAAAAATTAATGACTGAGTCAATTAATTTTATTGATTAAATCAAGAATTGCAAAACTGAATACTTTGAAATCTTGCAGACGTTTTAAAGTCATGGTAAACTGTTAATCCAAATAAATCTCTTTGTTTCCCCCAAAAAACTGACGTTATCTCAAAATTTTGCGGAATAAATTCTGCCCAAAATGTGCAAAATATGAGTTTTTACTTGTGATTCATCATAGCATTCATATTTTTTATTGATCAAATTAAGAACGAGTCATCCCATTTTCTCGAAAATGTGAAAATACAAACGTCTTTATTTAACAAGAATTATAATAATGATATTCAGAACATTTTGTCGATTGTAGCTTATTAGTTAATTGTTTTGTTTCTCTGCTTTGAGGAGTCTAACGTATTCAGATCAAACTAATTTCTACGTGACATTCTTCCGATGTATAAACATAAACCGTTTCAAGTTGTTTTTCCTATCGAGGATAGTCTAAGGACCTACAGTAATGGAGTCCATTGTTCAATTTAGTACTCGTTTCAAGATATTTCATAAGGCCGTAGCTAGGGGAGGCTAGGAGATGCTCCCCTAGATATAGACAAGTTATAATTAACCAAATGTGAATTACAGCATACAAAAAACCAAACAAAATGTAGTGTTTTATTCAATGAATGGAAGTCAGAGCAAAAAGAAAGTCTGGACCGTCGCATTGACATCCGGTTATTGCAATTCGTAGAAACCATGGTTTAGTTTAGTTTAGTTTGTGTTTCACCGTCACGTCTACACTAATATATTAGTGTTATGGTTATTTGTCTTAAATTACAAGTACTATACTGGGTGTTCATTTTATCTGTTCACTTTATCTGTTCACACCTGATAATTTTTGCATAGGCAACATATATACACCCAAGAGACGACTTCCTGCAATTTAATTTTTTTTTAATGCGCAATCATAGCAATCCCAGAAAAAAAATGACAAAGAAGTCAATGCCAAATAATGACAAAATTGAAAAAATTAGTTTAATTTATTTCAAAATGCCCCAAAAATGTAATGTGAAAAAAACATAATAGGCATGCAGTCGTCAGGTTTCCCACAGCGAGGAAAGTACTGTCTAAACTCTTTAGACCAATTTTTTTGAAACTCAGATGATGTCCCCTCGCTTTTCGTATCTTCCATAGTTTCACCAATCCATTCTAGAAAATTAAAAAATAACTGAATAATCTAAAATAATATTGATCACTATTAATAATTTAAACCATGGTAAGTTTGAAACTAAAATGAACAGGTTTAACGAAATAATGAGCTTCCGCTACTAAATCGTCACACTGTTATTTACGATCGGGATAACGTTAATACAAAGTGATCAATAATGCAAACAGATTAGTCTCGTTGTCAATGAAGGAAACGACTATAATAAAAATGTTGTCACATGCTACTAATTAACATTCAGTTCCTTACTATGAACACTTTATTCCACGTCAGAAAAACGTATGATTAATTAATGCTGCACTAGTAATATTCTTATTTTCGTCGCGATTGAGAACGTGCTACATTAATTAAGTACAAACAAAAGTAAGCGTAATTTAAAAAAAAATTTTGCTTGGATTTTTGTTTAGAATACGTGAAAAAACGATACTTTTTCAGTTTAAACCATAAATAGTTTGTAAGCTGTTGATAATGCCCCTTTTAAATTTGAGCGCCATTTACCCTCACATCGCTCCACCAGTCACGCAGGCATAAAACAAAGCTGACGCAAAAAATGGACATTTATGAATTATTAGTCGTTTGGCATATGTGGTTTATAGCATCTTTGCACCCTTTGCAATACAAAATTCTTGAGATTTTATGGATTATAAACAGGTAAGTGTACCGAGTTTACGACATGAACAGGAGAATAGTTATAAAAGTAAATATGGTTTTTCCGTACAGCTGACTGGATCGACTTGCTTATCGAGCATAAATCCGAAGGGACGTCGTTTTATCGGAAAAAAATG